GTTACGGGAATAAAATAAAAGAAATCATTCCAGAAGGATCCTCTACAGGAAATACGTATAGGCGACTGGGTCCCGTCATTGTCCACCTGGATTGCCATATCACCCAATCATCATCTTCCCGTGTCCAGACTACAGAGCATTGCTCTCCCACCCTTACGTGCATACGTACACGTGTCGTCATCTCCTTTTACTTGAAGTCAAATTAGTGTCACCACATCCAACGGCCTCTGATTTTTTTTACTAATTTTTTTGATATTTAAAAATTATATTAAATTTTAATTAATTTAAAATCAAATTAAATAAATTTCCTTAAAATTCTACTATCTGTATTTTTTTAATTATAAAATTCGAACCCAAAATTTTATTTTAGAAAAATTAAATTTCTTCAGCGATGATATCCAACGGCCCTTAATTACTCGCATTCACGCTATAAAGCCACGGATGTCAGTCTCTGACTGACAGTATTGGCGAGATTAGTTTTAAACAGTAAAAGATCCGTCATGAATTTTGTTCTCCTCAGATCGGGATCGGTTCCAGTTCGTTCACCGGCGCTTCCCGGATCTCCGAAGGTACATCTTTCCCGTCACGATACTGGAGTTTTCTCCGGCGAGAGAAACTCTGGTTCTTCAAAAAACTCGCTCCATCTAGAAACGAATGGCCGAAAGGATCGCGTGCTTATAAGGCGAGCGATGTCGGAGGAGACCGATGTCTTCCAACCTGAGAGTACCGGAAGATCTCGATGTTCCAAATCAGCAATACCAGAGGAAGAACACGTGGCCGATGTTGAGGTGGACGACTTTCTGTCACTCAAGAGAAAGGCCGGTGATTGGCCAAGTTACGCGCCAATTCGGCCGGATAACCGGATTCCAATTGAGGAGTTTGGATTTTCCGGAAACGGAATTGGAAGATCTGGCAACGATCAAGGGAAACCAGGCGACGGTTGCGGGGACGGTAGATTTGGTGATAGGAGCAAAATCGGCAACTATTACAGAGAAATGTTGAAGCTAAATCCCGGCGATTCGCTTCTGTTGAGAAACTATGGAAAGTACTTGCATGAGGTAAGTTCAAGATTTCACAATACTTCTTTTGCTCTTGATCAATATATTGAGCGATTTCAATTAATCTGACTCGTGTTCTTGTTTGGTTCTGAAGGTAGAGAATAACGTAGAGAAAGCAGAGGAGTACTACGGTAGAGCGATTTTGGCAAGTCCCGGTGACGGAGAGGTGTTGTCTCTGTACGGGAAGCTGATTTGGGAAACACAGAAAGACGAAGACAGAGCCAAGGCTTACTTTGATCGAGCTGTTTTTGCCTCCCCTGATGACTGGTACTTTCCACTCTCCTCTCTGTTTCCTTCCGTCCAGAGATCTATTGTTTTGGGAGTAAAATGGCATAATGTAAAAAGCAAATCCATTTTCTGAAAATTTTCTTGTGAAAATAACGCATTGTTTTGGGTATAACGTGCAGCATGGTGCTTGGATCGTATGCACACTTCATGTGGGAAGCAGAGGAAGAGGAAGAAGAAGAAGAAGAAGCAGAGGTTTCACAAACCAAGGTTGCAGCTTTTTAGCAAAAATCGAAAACCTTTTTTAATATTCAATAAATCGCCATTACTGTATAAATACTAATTAATGGCAGCCGATCAACTTCAATAACAAGTAAAATTAAGTCATGTACAGTAACTATCAAGTTTTTGTGATGCTACCATAACCATATAGTGATTGTGCTTTGTAACCTTGTCTATTATGTTAATCAATTTTCAGTTTTGTTATTGAGCTATGTAACGGCATTAACCTTTATATATCATGTTTTCAGTACAAATTTGCTTCAATTTTTAAAAAAGATGCTGCCTTTGTTACATGTACAAGCAATTGGTATAAGACTTCTCTTGTCCAAAAAACTGAATCTATGAATAAAGTAACTTAAAATTTTTGCACTTTCTTTGCTAAGCAAGAAAGGGGGAAAGGGAATCATGTGAGTAATGAACCTTTCCATGTGTTCTTGAAACTTCAATGAACTTTAAGCTTAACTCATACATGTTGGTTGATAAAATGAGAATAATCAAAGGTAAATGAATATGGAATGGATAGAGTACTTTCGTCAATAATGTCAATCCAAATGCTTTTGCTTTGTTTCTTTTCGAAGAAGACAAATGATTTGCTATTTTCTTTGTAGGTTAATGGACATAGATGGCAAATTGCACAACTTGTTATGCATGATTGACGTTCATGTCATTTTCTGTCTCGAAGCCAAATTTGTCAATATAATACATGATAAGTTGTTTGAAAAGTAATACATGAATTCAGGAAAGGAAAGGATTTTCAGAATACGGTTATGTAGTATTAATGATCTTCAAGCACTCGAAACAACAGCAACACCTTTCACTGTTCATTTTGAAGTATCCAAAACTTTACTCAGTACTTTTGAATATATTGTTTATTTTCTCCTTAGCACTGCTGGTTATTGTCTTTGATGACAATCCCTTGGCTTTGTCTCCTGTCTTGATGCTTTCAGCTTTAGATGCAGGCTTGCTTTGCCGACCAAGCACAGGAGACTTTGGTTGCGTGACTAGGTTACTCTGTGAGATTAATTAAAATCATGAATTAATATTGATTTTGTTTAATGTAACTATTCTAAACTTTTGTGACATCCATCTAGTAGTTCTCCCCTAACAACTTGCCTTTTTTATTTCAGAATTTGAGGATGAATCTTTTCTATGATAGAATCCTGGTAAAGGCAATGCCTTAAAGCCAGAACTCTTTTGAAGTTTTACATTCTCCTTCTCCTCATTTCCTTGTTGCTTCTCCTGTTTCTGCACATACACACAGATACTTGTGATTGAAGAATCAATCTTAGAAAGTGGAAATTTAATTAGGCTCAAATTCCTTTAGCAGAAGGTATATATACCTTGCCATTTGGTTGTAGGGGCTGAATCTTAACCTTTGTTTTCAGACCAGCATTAGGAGAGGAATATTGGACCCTGTGACATTGGAAATTTGGTAACTATTAAGAACCAGAAATTTTGATTTTAATGGCAAATTTTCACTTTAATGGTACTTCTGAGGAAGCTAACCTGTGGTTAAGGCTAACATATCTAGATAAATTTGATTGTGATGACAACTTCCTGAAATCCATCAAACCTCGTCTCTCCCTTACCATTCTTTTCGGATCAGTTGCAGACACAAAATCAACCAAACCCCGTCTTTCCTTTGACATTCTTTTCTCAGTTGGAAGAGAAAATGGTTGAGGCACAAGGTTTTGCCTTTGGATTTTGTCTTGAACTTATTTGCCTTTGTTTCTTTGGTGAATCCGTTTGGCCTTCTGCAACTCTTTCTGCTTTCAATACTTTGTTCTTCTCAATGACTTCTTCACTTTTATGCCTTTCCCCCTCTGCAGTCCTCTCCCCTTCTTTGGTCTGAACTCGCTTAATCTCTTCCTTGATCACCTCCATATCAATGAAAGATTTTTCTTCTTGGGTCTGCTCCTCCTCAAGGGTCAGTTCCCTTCTCTCCTCCATATGTAAGGGAAAAAATTCCACAACAAAGAGTGAAAATAACCATGACAATATCTGAAATTAACAAACATACAATAAAACTAGGAAGAACTTTGATGCTTAACTTGAAGAGCACTCTTATCTCTGTATGATGCCTCAAAAAGGATGATAATTCTTCTCTACATTTGATGCTTAAAAACTAGTTGCTGAATATTCTTGTACAATATTGCTAAAATGATTGAAAGTTAAGTATTGACTCGGTCTGACTATATATTAAACAGGAATTGCAGGATCTCTGCAAGTGGCAGCAAAACAAGAACGTTATTCACTTGGCTAAGATTGTTTCTGTTTAGGTTGTTCTTCATTGAAATTTAGCAGATACCCTGAAAGTCGGCAACTGTCTATTCCAATAGTATACATAATTTGTCCTTAAACAGTCTGCTAAAATATATAGAATTTTGAATTGACCATGCAATGCAGAGAAGAGTTCATGGATTGCATATTTTACGTTTGTAGGTGAGTTTGTACTTCTATAGTCAATAAATGGTAAAAATTTCATTGCTGGGAAATTTCTTCTAACAATAATTATGTTGAATTGCCTTTTTGGTAAAATATCCAATTTGGTCCCTGAACTATATATAGACTCTTGATTTGGTCCCTAAAGTAAAAAAAATCCATAATTTAGTCTTTGAACTATTGTATGGATCTCAATTTAGTCCTTAGTATTTACCAATTTACCTTAAGTTTATCATTTTGGACAAAAAACAACTGACATGTTTCACTATTAACGTGACACGTGACCATTAAGTAACTGTTTTTTGCCATTAAGTAATTATTTTTCGTTGTTAAGTACTTATTTTTCATCGTTAAGTACTTATTTTTCATCGTTAAGTACTTATTTTTCATCGTTAAGTATATGTTTTTTGTCGTTAAGTAACGAACACTTCAACTGTTTTTTATACGGAAGGATCAACTTGGGGCTAAATCAATAAACAATAGAGATCAAATTGGGGTCTATACAATAGTTTAGGGATTAAATCAGAAATTATTTTAGTTTAAGGACCAAATTAAAAATCTATACAATAGTGTAAGGATCAAATTGAGGTTTAAACTAACTATTAAAATATTGTTTCCTTAAAAAGTGAATCTCCACCAAATTTTCAAATAATTATTCTCCAGCATTACAAAATCCAAATTAAATTATAATTGAGAGCATTTTTGGAGTAAATTAATAGAAAAAATTTAGTTACAATTAAATCTCGAGAGATCACAGTGTATCTCGTCCAAATTTCCCAATTAATTTTCATAGAATCTGCTGCATTCTTGTATATATAAATATATATACATATATATATAGATATATTTATGTTTCTCCAATAATTTTCCTTACCAAATTCATCCTTCCTCCCAACCCTAGATTTTCCCCTGCTTTTGTTTTTCTCTGTTATTTCTTTGGAGATTCAATGGAACGACTTCGCCCTTCTGCAACTGCTCTTTTCCTGATGATCATGTTTCAGTTTTATCTCTCTATCAGTATGAATTAAACTCTATTCTTTTTTTTCTTTTCTTTTTTTAATGATTCATGGACATTGTACCGTCTTTTTTGTAATATATGAAAATCCTGTTTCAATGCAGAGGTAGGAGGAATTGGAGTGAACTACGGCATGCTGGGGGACAATCTTCCTCCTCCAAGCCAGGTCATTGCTCTCTTGAAATCCCGGGGAGTTACCGGAGTTCGACTTTTCCATCCCAATCTCGATGCTCTCCGAGCTCTCCAAGGAGCCGGAATCCAAGTCATCCTTGGAACCCTGAACCAGGACCTTCAAGGACTCGCATCCAACCCATCTTTCGCCACAAACTGGGTTCAAACTAACGTAATTCCCTTCTCACAAACCGTTCAGTTCTCCTGCATATCTGCCGGAAACGAAGTCATTCCGGGAGAGTTAGCAGAGTATGTGTTGCCTGCCATGGTAAACCTGAAAGCAGCCTTGCGATCAGCCGGTTTGGGACAAACCCCGGTGAGTACATCTGTTTCCACGAAAATTATTGCCGATTCTTTCCCTCCTTCTCATGGGAAATTTTCCCCGGAGGTGAGTTCTATAATGAGGTCGATCACCGCCTTCCTCGCCGCAGACGGCAGCCCCCTGCTGGTGAATGTGTACCCTTATTTTGCATACATAAGTAACCCACAACAAATTTCCTTAAGTTACGCATTATTTACAAGCCCTGAGGCTGTCATCGTCGACGGAGGACTCGAGTACGATAATCTATTCGACGCAATAACCGATACAGTTTACTCTGCTTTAGAAAAAGCCGGCGGTGAAACTGTTGAAATCATTGTTTCAGAGTCGGGATGGCCGTCGGCAGGAAACGGGGACATAGCGACGGTTGAGAATGCTCAGACGTACAACAATAATCTAATCGCGCATGTTTCAGAAGGATGTGGTACGCCCAAGCGGCCATGTAAAAGACTAGAGACCTACATTTTTGCAATGTTTAATGAGAATCTGAAGCCACAGGGGACCGAACAGCACTTTGGTTTGTTCTTCCCTAACATGACGGAAGTGTACCATGTTCAATCCAATTAGCCATTGAGTAGATACTACGAGTAACAGGGCCTAACTTTCCATTCTTGTATGGAACAATACTTTCGGGTAGATGACTAGATGCCATATACGATCCAATGTTATTTAATAAAATTTATTTTAATTTATATAGTGAGTTTTTTTCAATTTAAATTGTAAAACATATATTATTTAATGAGGAAAAAACTTTCAATCTTAAAAGTTGTTTTTATTCAATGATTAAAGTTTTATAATTTAAAATAATTTAAATTACACATTTTTTTTGTTATAAAATAATTTTTTTATTTTAAACATTTTACTCTCTTCTTTGAATGAATTTTTAATTTAAATTAATAATATGTTCAGATTAAAGAGTGGAGAGGTGAGGTGAGGTGAGGTGAGGTGAGGTGAGGGGAGGAGAAAAATTTTCTCTATTCATCTAAAATTGAATGTTGTAATTGATTGAAGGAAAGGAGAAGGGAGGAGAGGAGAAGAGCATTCTTTTTAATTTTTTTTTTATAATTTTAGTATAAATAAATGAGAAAGAAAAATAGATGAGAGTGGAGAAAAATAAAAGAAATTTATCTTTTTTTTCCTTCTATCCTCTCAAGCCAAATATTGGGTTGTGAACAAGACAACGGCATTGCTAAATCAACGAATTAACCCAATGTGTTAAGGTTATTTTCAATGAGAAATAACACTATTACACAGTTAGAACATTTTCATTATCATATTTAATTTTCAAGATTTATAAGAAAAGAGAAAATAATCCTCAGATAAAATAAATAAATAAATAAAAGATCATCCTCAAATAACAAAAAATAAATAAATAAATAAAAGATCGGCCGAAACAAATATAATAAGGTTAAATGCTTAATTTGGTTTCTCAACTTTAAGAAATGAACATTTTTGGTCCTTCAATAATTTTTTGTACTTTTTTGATCCCTCAACTATACGAAATGCATTCTGTTAGTCCTTTTGTTAATTTGGGCCGTTAACCCTAAAACTTTTGCCGTGTCACATGCTACCTGGCGAAAACACACCAAATCCATCTAAGTGGATCCCACATCACCACTAACAATTGCTTCCTTGCCCATCGGTTATGAAATTCGACGGAACCAGCAAATTTGGGTTTGATGTAATCCAGCAAATAGGTTCCATCGAACCCAGCTAAATTCACTGAACTCAATTGTTCAAAAATCCCTCGCAACAACCTGCAATTTGAATAATTTCTTGGTAAACAATCATATAAACACAAAAAAAAAAAGTGGAGTTGGGTTTTGGGTTCAGTGGAACCCAGTGCTGGGTTCCGTCGAACCTAGGGCTGGGTTCCACCGAACCCAGAGTTGGGTTCGATGGAACCCGAGAAAGAAGAGGAAGAAGAAAAAGAAAGAAGAGGAAGAAAAAAAAAAAGAAAAAGAGAAAGGAAGAAGATAAGGGAATTATTTTATTTTATTTTTTAAAAATATAAATAATAATGTGAGTTAGCATAAAAAAAATTTCACGTCTAACATGTTTTCAATTTGTTTTTGCCACGTCATCAAAAAAATTATAAAAAATACCACGTAAGCGAGTTAACGATCGAAATTAACAGAATGACTAACGGAGTGCATTTCGTATAGTTGAAGGATCAAAAAAGTGTAAAAAATTGTTAAGGGACCAAAAATATGCAAATTACTAAAGTTGAGGGACCAAATCTAGCATTTAACCATATAATAAAGTCTGTATTGCACAAGAGAATGAAGAGCGGACAAAACAAAGCCCAACTTAGGACAAAACCCAATCGATGTCGGTAGTTTACCCGACCCGAGTTGCCCCGTTGTCTGCTGTTCATTTCATTCTCTCTCCCAAGTCGCTCCCTCCTTAAATGGCGAAATTGA